TTTTATTTTTATTTTTACTGTTATCACATAGACAGGATTACAGTGTTGGACAAGAGAGTTAAATAAATAAAGTTGATATATAGCACATATACGCAAATGGTAAAGCATCAGCAGCAGTAGCAGAACTTCTGTTATAATGCAACAAAAAACAAATAAAGGGCAAAAAGCCACAGTTATGTAACAAAGAAACTTTAATTTAAAATAATAAAAAAATATTACAACAAACGTTTCGACGCCGATCGGTTATAATGCCTGCCAATAAAACGGATTTGAAGTTTTAAAACCTTAAAATTTAAAAACTAATTAAAAATATTGACATTAAAAAGTTTTTATGCAGTATTATTATGTAAAAATAGGCAATACATCAATATTAGTTTAGAAAATAACATTTTTTTATAATTATTTTGTAAACTAGACAAATTGTTTCTTATAGTTTTCTTAAATGCCGAAATAAAATTGCCGCAAATAAAATTAACACGTTAGATTTTCGAAATAATTAAATGTTTGATGTGCACAAATGGCTTTTTTGCAATATTTGACATATTTTTGTAAAAAAAAAAAATTGAAGTCATTTTGAAATTTTGGTCAGAAGCAATAAATATATTGTTTATCTCTCTTATAAAATACTTTTTCTTAAGTTAGTATCTTATTTTTAACCATGTTATGAAAGATTTAATTATAGTATAAAAGTTTTATGTTTCTTCGAATAAAATCTGAATTTGTAGTACAAATATCCTGTTTCATTAAAAAAAATCGATTTCCAATTTGGATAGCGCATTTCTATTCAAAATCAGAAATTGAAAATATATATCATGAAAATATATATATGATATGATTAGATGGAGTATATCCGCTGATTGATTATCAAAATTTTTAGAATTTGTGATAACCGTTTCCCATGTTTTTAAATGGGTGACGCGTTTCATCTAGGACACCTTATACATATTATATATATACAGGGTGTCTGATTTTAATTTAAATATTTTAAGTACCTTGAAAAAACGTAGTTTCAAAGAAAATGTTTTAAATAAATATTACATGATTTATATATGTATACCGATAATCATAAATTTAAAATATATGATCTCATCGTAATAGATTTAAAATATGCTATTATAGAAAAACTGTATTTAATTCTTTCAGAACATAACTAAAAAATAAGATAATGGAATTTCTAAACATGTATTTTATAGGGAACAAATATTATAATACTTTTATGATTTTTAATTGGGATTTTAAGATAACGTTAACCTTCGTTACAAAATATATCAAATATTGTAAGAAAAACCATTTTTTGAACGTTAAACCTCAATTATCTTGTAAACATGCTAGAATTTTTTAGCTGCGGTGTCACACGCGCGTTTTCAACGTTCATAAATCTATAAGAAACACTTAGTCTGATTTAAAATAATATTTTGCTGTAAATTAGTATAATTCTCTTTCATCGAATAAATTCATTTACAGATGTACACACATCCACATATATTGCAATTTATCAAAACATTTTTTTTAGAAGATTAAGAAGTAATTATTAGTAATAGTTAATAATTTTACTTTATCACAATTATTATAATACATTGATTCTTTTTGTGTTAACATATTTTGTATACTGTTCCTTTTCCAACGCGACTCTATGTTATCGAAACCTTTATATTAGCATGAGCTAATTGTGAAAACTGGCTATTATTAAACGAGTTAGCAGGAAGAATTGGCATAATTAACACGTCTTTGTTTCTTCAGACTAATTTTTTTAGTATTCTGTAACTTTCTTTTAACTATATATAGTAAAGAAGCAATAAAATTGTATGTAATTTTATATACAGTCTTTCTTATTACATTTTATAATAAGGTATATTATTTTTATGTACTATTTGTTAAGTTATTGAAATAAGTATACCTTGAAGATTTAATTAAATATATTTAAAGACCATTTTAAAGATTGTTAGTTAAAACTTATAAAATTGATATATAATGATGGCATTATATTAACAGTAAATAAATTATAAAATTATTGTAAAATATTATTAAAATTGGTAGTTTTAAATTTAATTTTTAGACTATAACAATGTAGATAAAATGATTATAAATAATTAAATATACTGACAAAGAATAGCAAACTGATGAATAAATGTATGTGTGTGTGATAATTAACTTTACATAAATTCAATAAATAATAATATTTATAACAATATTCATAATATTTATATTCTATATATTTATATTATATAGATGTAGCAATATTTAATATATGGCAACTTCCTTATTGCAAATATTTGAGGTGTTACTATGTTTCATATCTCATCAGAATGTATAATAATTTCTTTGGACATGATAATAAGATATATTCAAACCGCAGTTTTCGTTAATGCATTCATTTTATATTTATAAATATTCATTCTGCTTTTTGTACATTTCTCTTCTCTGCAATTTGATATTGTCCCAAATATGATTGTTGCTATTATATAAGATATATCTCTTTATGCAAAATTTATTTAGCATCCATTTAAAAGAAATTAAAATTTCTGAATGATAAAAAAAACTTTACATTTTATAAAATCAGAAATGTGAGAAAACGAAAAAAGTACGACTTACAAATAACAACTTTTATTATTTCAAGTTTTTTTAATTATAAAAAATTTAAACATGTAGTACATTTTTAATTTAACAAAAAATCGTCTTAAAATGTTTAAATAAACATAAATATATAAACTTTTGTTTATACATATATTGTATCTGTATCCATTTAAATAAAAGATATCGGTATATAAGCTTTTTGTTTTTAATTTATTAAAAATTTATAATTAATATTTTCTTTCCAAACTATATACTCGGTGTAATTTCAAAACTATATAATTTTTTAAAATATATAATTCACATTATACTATTTTGTGACGTTTCTAATCGTGGACAATAAAGTAAACAACATCTGTTTGTGAGCAATGACTCTAAAAAGTTTAGAATAGATAAAATGTCGTGGACTCTATGTTGCTATCGGCAGCAACAGATTTCTGATACTAATCGCAATGACACGTTATCGTTATATCGTTATCTCTAATTTTTTCATTTAAGAAAATTATGTTTTTGTCAAAGTTAAATAGTTCATTAATTATGCTAATTTCTTTTTTGCGAGTGTCTTCTTATAGTAAAATTAATTGTAGATGCGCGTATATTTTCCTATTTATAGCTTTTTTTGATAACGCTACATTACAGAATAGTATCGAAATATAGGTATGAAATCGCTACCGACGAAAAAGGAAAATTGTTAATACCTCATCGACATCTTGTATTGTAATTATAGTATTTATCTCCAAAATATAACGAAGTAAAGTAATATTTTATTTAATAACAGTCAGCAAAATCTTCTCATGCAAAAAACATTAAAATTATTATGTTAATTTTATATTTGTAAAATAGTGGAACACATTATTCTTATTAATATTTATTTATGTTATGAACTAATATTTATTGAAATAATATTATTTCTTACTGAAATATACAAGGTATCTAGATTTTGCATGATAACATTTGTTTGTAGCTTTTTGAAATTATTTTGAGATAAGTGTCTTAAAATCAAAATATCGAGCTGATTGTAACAGTTTTTTTTATGAAAAGAGTTTAAAATTAATCAGTTACCTAACTGTTTAAAATTCGTGTGTTTAAATACATATCATATAATAATGAAAGAATTTTTTTAAAAACGTGAATTTTATACTTTGTGTAGGTATGTAACTTGTATATGTATCTACACCTTTTATACATAAGTAATTATAAATGAAGTTACAATAATAAAATATAAAAAATGTTAATAGATTTAAAATTTTTTTTAACTAATGTACAAAATGTATGCTGTTTAAGCATTTGATATATATTTATAAATTGACAATTTTTATATTTATTTAAAAATTGATATTTAGCAAAGTATTTTAATATTTCCTGTAGACTGTTCAACCACTATATTGTTCATAAAGGTGTCATGTTTAATTATTAATTGAAAGTAAAATTGAAAATAACACGGTATTCGATTTCTTAAATGATAAGCATGCATGTATGCATACTGTTGTGCTTGCTTGATGCATGCAATCTGTTTAAAAGATAACCATAAAATTAACATAATTTCTTCTGAAGATAGCTGTAAATCTATTTTTGAGTTTTTTTAGTCTATGTAAGAAAATAGCTGTATAATATGATGTATATGTTTAATAAACACAGAAATCATACATGCTACGCTTAATGTATGAATTTATTCTTGCATGCTTACCATTCGAGAAATCGAGTATTGTATGTCTTATTACGTGATTTATCCATTGATAAATATAATAAGTATAATAATGTTGATCGATTAATGAACATTGTTTTGTTCATTCAAAGAATATTCATGCTAAAGAAATAAATTCTTGCACAATTAATAAGGTCAGTATTACGCTTCTCTCCCCCCCTGTCACTCTTTTTCTCTCTTTCTCTTTAATAACTATATATAGCACACATGTATTATCCAAATGTTTGCGAGATTATTACAAAACTATTTATTGCAACAGGTTGTGTTATATAACCATAGAAACTTAATACTATTTTGCAGTCTTCTCTTTAAACATCCTTACGTATATCATGGTTCAAACAATAATTTTCTAACTATATCAAATAATTGTTTTCTAATTCTACATTTTCCTTTTAGTATAATCGAAAACAAGCTTCATGCAGTAAAAAATAGAGCATAAAATTTAAATTTTTGCAATTTTTTCAAGTGTCTAAATTTTAATAAAAATTTTGAAGTAAACACTCTTTTTCAATCAAGTTATAATTATGATACTTATACATAAAAAATAGGAAAAATATGATTTCTGTATGGCAATTAGCAAAACGATCTATAAAAAAGATTACAGTGATTTTAATTTCTCAATACTAACGTGATTTCAAATATTTAATATTGTGTAGTTACGAAAGCATTGATAAATTTTTATCTATTAATTTTTTTTAAATGAAAATAGTTTAAAAATCACGGTGTCCATTGAACGTCACGTATAATCTCTTTCAGGTAAGACAATGCCAAGATTTAAAAAATTAGATTGAAACAATTAACTGTCTCTGAACAATAAGTAGTTTAAGATACGACGCTGTGGTCTAGATTGCTATCAGTAGTTACAGATATTCGATCGGTATCAACATTTGTAGATACTCGATCGGTTAGATTTATCGCACAATCTTCAGAATTTCCATTTACAATGCTTTGTATTTGTTTATCGTTCGAGTGACATGCGTTTTCGTTTGTTGACTTAGGTACAGATTTTTCTGCTTTTGGATCGTTTACAGTCCGTTCTAGGGTTTCTTCCTCATTAATAGTAAACTTTTTCAAACTAATCACATATGCAGTTGGTATCCTCTCTTTTTTATCGGGTTTCCTGTTGATGGTGTGCACATTTTTCACTGACTTGCATGCGTCCTCCAAAAAGCTTTCTCGCGAGCAACATTGAGAAGAACTGCAGTGTTCCCCATGACATGTAATAAGGCAATCGGTTTTCTCCGTATTCGGTTTCATCTGTGTGATACAAATTATTATTCAATAAAAACGATTTTAAATATAAAATGATGTATTATAACAAGTTATCTCATACTTTATGGAATTCTGGCTGTATAGTGACCTGCGTAATACCCATTTCGACAAAAAAGGCAGTAACTTGTTCTGTAATGCTAGCATAAACCTAAAAAGAAAAGAGAAAATGAAGAAAATTTATACCTTTCATTTAAAAAGAATAAAAAAATATCGAATAAAACTATCTTTCTTTCTTAAACAACAATTAAATGTACACTGAAACCTCGTAATAGCGCATGGTCTTCTTTCGGGAATCTGAACTCTGAACGCTATGACGAGGTTGCTCTTACTTCACTCCAAACTATTAAAATAAAATTCAAGATTTTAGTGGCTATTACTATTCCCTTACTCATGCTATTTTTAGCACGGAAGGAATTTTTCGCGCTATTTCGAAGTTCGCTGTAACGAAATTCCAGTGTATTTCCATTAAATATATAAATTATTTTAATTTATAAAATTTATTTTCGTGTGTACCATTGGATTCAAGAACACAATATGGACCGTACAAATAGCTTGATGTTTTGCTAATTGCCATACATGTAAGTCATGAACATTTACGATACCCGGAAAAGCTACCAACAGTTTTCTTTTGAGACAATCAATATTGATATGATTCGGAATTGTTTGCAGTAAAATCAAGCCTGATTCTTTCACTGTAAAAAAATTATAAAACAAAATAAGAATAAGAAAATACTAGAGATCCTGAAAATACAAGTATTAAAACAAAAGAAACAAATTAAAGCATTTCAAAAATTACAATATTCACAGAATACAAGATACATAATGTGAAATAATACTTTAACTTATTATATTACCAACATTTATCTCACTTTGTATTACTATTTATACATATATTTATATTGTTTATATAGTATTGTTATATGTATATATATATACAATATGCTATTTATGTATCGTTTATGCTACTTTTTGCTTCTTTTCTTTTATCGTACATGTACAATATTGGAATAAATATATTAAATATACTTACTGTAAGGATAACAGAGAACAAATAGCAAAATTGATGAAACAATTGCGAAGACTGGATCAACGTATTTGGCTACATCAGATTCGGTGAAATAAACTAAAATTGATACCAATATGACGAAAACACACCCGAGAATATCTCGATAAATTTCTCTTAAACCTTCACTTTTTGGTATCGCCAACGGACTTCGCCTAGTCTCTGCAGATAGTTGTTCCTCACCATCCTTTGTTTCTTCTAAACTCACATTTCTGAAATGTCGAGTGTCACTAGTAAACAATATATTGAACCGGTTTCTATTAAAATTTTAATAAACTTTTTTCTTTGATAGAAATATATGTAAAAAAATATTTCAGACTTTAGAATGCTCACTATTTGCGCAAGAAAATATTTTAAGGAACTTTAGCATAATCTATATAGAATATGTATACATTTTAACAACATTTTGAAAATTGACAAATATATGTGTAACTTTATTATTTTGTATATGATAAGGAGCAGTACAAAATTAATCAGTACGAATTGTAAAAAGTATTTAAACGTTCCGAATTATTGTACATTTCTTGATAAAAATTGTGGAATTTATTATAAAAACCTACTATATTATAAAAATCACCTGCGTAATATTACGTCACCGCTTTTTGTGACATGTAAAAAGATGCCCTGATTAAAAGTGAATCCCCCAATTAAAAGGTAGCAGAAGGCATTTAGAAGTATTCCGGAAACACCGATACACAATACTGGCAGTGGGTGATGCATTTCATCTAGATGATCGATATGCACCAATGTCTGTAATGCTTCCATGAGCAAAGAGAAACAGAAAGAAGTGAGGAAAATGCAGCAAACGAGCATCGTAACAATGTCGATTCTAGCCCATCCAAACGTGTTTTTCATTCTTCTGTCCGACCATGATTCCTGTAAAACGAGATTTCGTATTTATGCCGCGATTATATATATTTAACAGAAAATTAATAAAAAGCTACCAATATATTCTTCCAACCTACGGTAAACAAGATTTTATTACTGGTGATTATCTGTAACAGTTCTGTCTACCTGAATAAAGAAAATTTATAAAGATTCCTCTATTGAAAATGATAAGTTTCCTTTTTGTCTCAATTTTATTTAAAAAAAATTATAAAAAGGTTTTCTTATAAATTATACATCATATTCTTATTATAAAGTTATAAAATAATATCTAATTAATTTATTTAATATAATACTTATATGAAAAGACATTATAAAACATAATACATTTTAATAGTATACTTTAAATTTTAATAAAAAATTTTACATTATAAAAATGTAAGAGAATAGGTATTTATTTTCAACAAACAAGATGCAATATTCTTCAATATAATTCTTCCGCACAATTTTAATTTTACAGAAAAGATTTTTTTAATCTCTGTTTTTGAGTATTATTGAACGTACCTTCGTCTTTGTTGATAAAGACGTAACAGAACCCTGATCCTCACCGTTAATACAAATGGACGAATTACCTAGTGAATTGCAGTTACTGTTGTTGCTGTACCTTTCCCGATAACTATACTGTAAGCAATGTATAATTACGAAATCACATCATGGAGAAAATATTTAAAAGTTTACTAACACAAAATCATTTAAGGTTCTTTATCAACTTATTACATGTTGCGTGCACGTTGAATTTAAGATTGGATGAAGCGCATTTTTATGTGAATCTGACCCACTAATTAAAGTATTACAAACATTCTTAAATCCTAGTATTTTTCTGAAAATATATCAATTGATACGGAAAGTAGTATCTCACAAAAGGCTTCTTTATCTGTGTTTGCATGCTAAATCGCGGCGAATAAATGGATACATATGCATAGGCGCATATCTAGATTCTAGATATAATACATAGGTAAACAAATGTGATTAGCATTGTAGAATAAATCTTAAGGTTGCACAACCAAAAATAATGATAATTTTCGCTCATCAATACATTTAATATTGTGATAACTGTAAGATAAACATACTAGTTCCTTCCTCCGTAAAAAAAGTGTTACATTGAAATTAGTGTATTATAGATCTGATAGACCGATACGATACTTGCAATTTATAGGTGTTAAGATGTCCTAATTTATAAAAAATTATCAAGAGAAGAATTAAGTTTCGCTTTGATAATATTTATTTATGATATGAAAAGTTATAGTCGCAAGAAGTACATTATAATGATTATGTGATGAACGATAGTTACTAGTTTCAAGATTAGCAGCATGTGCATAGATTTAGACTATACTTCATGAGCGAGACTGACGAATGATCATATGAATGGTCATATGAATTTTGCGGATATTTCGTACTTACCTTGATCGAAGCAATACAACCGACAAGTGCTACGATATTGCAGAGCATGTGATAAGCATTGAGAAGGAGCGTCAATGAATGCGTTATATGACTAGCAACGATCTCGACCAAAAAAAAAGCCGTAGTGAAGAATAGCACGAGGTACAATTGCATCGGTTGAAGTCTTCTAAACCACTCTTTCACAGCCATGACTGCCTGCAAAGTTATGTGAACATTTTTACTTTATAGTGATACCTCATACATAAGGATTATTGTTATTTTATAGTTATACGATATTCTGTCACAACTTATTGTTTCATACTACCTACAGTCGTATTCCATTTCACATAAACTTTACTTATGATAATTTACAAGAGATATATCTTCGATCATTCTTCGAACATTTATGTGAAGCGAAATTTATTATATATATTCACTGTTATAAAAGTTTGTTGACCTTATCGCAAATTAAATTAATATAAGAAGCTTACTTTTGTATAAAAAGCACAATTAATTTAGATTTTAATATGCAGAATAATAGAATTATCTGTTTGAAATGATAATTTGTTGTGCATTTATAAATCGTAAAGGTCAATTTATATACAAAAGAAAATTGAATTTAATTGAAGCTTTTCAATTTATACATTTGCTTTTATTAATTGGAAAAGTTAAAACTATTATAGTTATGTTTCTATATTAATGACATATAGATAAAGAAATGAGGTCTCAGTAATAAGGGGAGATTATTATTTATACTTTATGAGATATTTTGCAAGCACATAAAATTGATCGAAAAATATATATTATGTAGAGAGACAAAAATAAATGTTAAATATATAACATTCAATAAACAAGAGCTTTGTTAGTCATCAGTTTTATAGCGCATTTCACTGGCAGAGCTAGTGCGCACTCAGTGCACATTAAAGTCGTTATACACTACTCTAATCTGATATTAAAATAAGATATCTTAATTGATAAAATGCTTATTGTATATTTTGTCAAATAACACAATAAAATATATTGAAGATTTTACGATTTTAATCATTTTCTTATTTTTATTAAACATATATTTCTATGGGTCAATTTCACCAACGTCGGTTAAGTTAACCGACAGTTAAAGTGTCAATCGTGATTTGTTCATTCTGGTCAAAGACAAATGCGATTGGATAATTCCATTTGAATTAACCGTTGGTTAGTCTAACCGACGTTGGTGAAATTGGCCCTATGTCGATTTGTGTACAAAGGCATTAAAGTACACTGAGTGCGCACTAGCTCTGCCAGTGAAATGCATTATTAATCAACTACAAACGAACGTTTTCATAAATAAACTTTTTTATCCCAAAACAGATTTTTTAAGCTTATTTTGTAGTCCTTAACGTTCTAATTGTGTGCCAAACAATAATATACATAATAGAACATTAATTTCAGAAAAATTTTAATTTAAGTATAATAGCTTTAGAGTTACGGAAAATTAAAGTATTTAAATTCCTAACATTATCTGACCACAATAGATTTGTAAAAGACATAACATTTTTTATAACAGTCAGATATTAATTATAAGTCAATTTATTAGTAAAAATGGTTCTTTAATCAACGTATTAAAGAATACATCCTTCTACACCTACTTTTAATTTATTTTTTAAAGTAAAATTGTTATCAAAAGAAATTTTTGTTAAATTTCTTGAAAACGGATGCAGATGCAAAAAATGGATAAAAATTGTCTATTTTTAAATTTTGTCTAAAAATACCTGTTATATTTTTCATTAAAAATTTTTTTATATTAATATCCCTTATAGCATTGTTTAACAATCGTTTGAGTTTCGAGGTTCATATAAAGTGGATTAAATTTGGTTTACTCTTTATGTAAAAAAATTTACGAATATCAAAATTCGCGAATCATAAATAAGACATCAAGTGTTTCAAAATTTGCAAATCACAGGAAGAAAGTTTACGAAAGTATAAGTTACCAAGTATTTGCCATTTGTTATTCCGAGTAGTAATAAGTTTCAAGATATATAGGTTTAAAACTAGCCCATTATAGATTACGGTTTAATGCCCATTTGAATCGCGCGTCGATAGTATTAGTGATTGCACATTTTATGTGCTCATATATTTTAGACAAAAAATTGTGCGTAACATCTGCACAATTAATTGATGTTTTTAAACAAACATAACGAATATGATATTATGTTATTAATCTAAATTTATTAGTAACATAATAGCGATATAATTTATTGAAATTATAATGCTACTATTAACTATGTTATTAATTTGTGTACGATAATAACAGAAAATGCAGTAAATAAAATATGAATAGTTGCAATCTAATTATATATATACAAATGAATTATTATTTTCAAATTATTAATACAATAAAATTTTTTTTATTTTATATATTTATTCTTTGATTACTTTTAATCTTAATTAATCAAATCGAAAAAGATTACTGTTGACGAGTAACTATGGACAATAAATAGTCTTACTGTAATCTATAAATAATTAACCAAATTTTAATGTTATTTGAATTATTTTTGATATTGATATAATGATATATGTATATGTATATACATATGTTTATTCACATAAATGTGCATTATTATATTTAAAATATTTATTGCACTAGTACATATTAAGCAGCAAGATTTTTAAATTTTAATAACTAAATCCGCTATAAATTCACTATAAATTATTTCCACATACACACATTTTAAATATATATATATTGTAACTTTTAAATAAAACTTTTACAGATTTGTACATTTATTATTAATTTTTTCTTTCATTTTTATTCAAAAAACGTGCGAAAATAGTTTAATCATAAAAACTTGAAATAGCCTCTGTATAGTAAAAAATTATATAAAACATACCTTTTACAATCTTTATGAACAAACGCACCGCAAGAGTTCAAGATCGCTCGATGTAAAATTTCACTATACTGCACAGTGACGAAGAGAAAGAAACACTGTTTTTGAATGACCGATATCACGTTCTTTCCCAATTAAGCAACGTTTCTCAAGCATAATGGAAGATACTCGCAGGTAGAACGATAAAAAGTAGACGTTCGACTGAACGAGACAGTCACCGACGTTTTGCGGGCAAAACGATATTGGAGCACGGAGCGGTTAGATGCCCGCAGTTGTCTATCCGTTGAACCCGATCGAAGTCGAATCGTTCTCCATCCATCAACTCGTGCGTCTATAACTAATTTTTCGTTCCTTAAACCGACATTTATTCGTGATGAATCGTCCGCGCAAATGATCTGTACAGTCGCGCGATTACCATCACTTACTGTCACTTCATCAGATAATCTGCATTCTTGGTATACTCGCACGTCGATTGATTTCGATCTTGATATTAAATCCGTGCTTGCACGATGATACTGTTGTTTAACCGTACGATTATTTGCCAGAAGATAATTGTTGAGTCGATAAGTCGCTTTTATTTGTCTCTTCTAAAAAGTTCGTTCTTTAATCTCACGGTGTCAGTTTCTATTTCATCTCAGAGCGCTGAGAGAAGAGAACTCTCGCCCACGCCGGACGTTAACGTGATGAAGAAGACGACGCAAGATCGTTTTCACGCGACGTCGACCTTCGACAAGACAATTTATAGTTAACTATGCGTGCATCCGTTTAATCATTACTGTTATATCGCGGTGTAAAGTGAATTTCGTGAATCGAAAGTAAGAGACTAGACAATCGCCACTTGGTATGTGCGCCGTGTCAGGTAAATGTATGAAGTCAATTTATCAATTTTATTGTTACTCAAATATAATTATGTTTGACTGCTACAAACCGAAAATGAGAGTGTGGACAACGTGTTTTAAAACAATATAATTTTAAATCAAGTGCTCAAAGAGTAATGTTAAAAGACGACAGTCTGTTTTGAAAATGAATTTCGAAAGATTTATGTTCTCCTAAATATAGAAATCGATTCTCTATTATCTATGACTGCAATACAACTAACATATTTCCATTAAAGGAAACTATATATATTGCATTGTAAAATATTAATTTGTGGTTATTTTTAATTTATAATATTCAGTCGAAAAAATTATATTCGAATATACGTCGAAATATATATTTTGCTAAAATCTTTTTTTCAAAATTTACAGACATCTATTACCTGTAACTAACATATTGTTTTCGCGTATTTTAAAAGTAACACAATTAAAAATATATATATTTTTGAGTTATACCACGAAAGACAATATTAGACATAAAAATTACTCCAATAATCAAAGATAAATTAACTTAACTCGTCCATATTAAATAGCTTAAGTGGTTCTTAAGACTTAAAAAAAAATCACAATAAACATCTTCTACAAGAGTAACACATTTTGAATTGTATCGTATTTTTAAATAAGAAGAATTTTATTTACAGAAAGAACGTTTAGTGTTAACACAATTTTGGGTTCACTCAAAAAATTCATGACTACGTGAACAAAAACGAGGGAGGGGATGTATCAACATGGCTCGTTTCGATACTCATCTAGATTGAGCGTGCAGATTTCTCGAGTGTACATACATCGTCGTAATGACACATTCAAGCACAACATAAACGAGTGCAATTCGTAGCGTGTCACACGTACACCATATTCGGCATGTCTGCGTTAGATCCAAAGGGGGGACTGTCAAAGCGTTAGTTGCGAACATCCGGACGCAGTAATGGGCTTGAACAACGAAATTCCCGCTCCCACAATCGACGTCAACACATTAAATTGTGACACAATGAAAACGTAAAAGCGCGACAAAACTACCGAGATACGGTTACGATAGCTACGTCCGAGCGATCTATTGATTCTAGCTACGTGTTGAATCTTTCCCGACTCTCCATTAAAAGACAAACTGAAAGATTTTCTAAAACATGGTTGTTGCTATCTTATCAGAAGACTTATTCAAATAATATAGTAATAAGCGCGATAACACTTTTTTGTAATATATTGCCATTTAATATTACGTTCTCTAATTCAGTGTTTTAAAATGTCGAGTTTACTGTATTTAATATGCAGCTGATTTGTAAACTGTTGTGAACAATTCTTCACGAATAATTCGTGATCTGTGCAAAAATGATGTCTGTATTTATACACATATATGTATGTACGTACATGTATGGATATTTTTCAATACTCTTTTGTGAAGTTTATCACTATGATAATGAGAAATTATATTGACCTTTGAACTTCAGTCAGTTGTGGAGGATATTTGTGACAATATCAACACTCTCGGAAAGAGGAACACAATTATCGCATTCTATATATTGACATTCCGTATTATTTTATACAAAATTTCCGCCAAAGAGGTTCTCAAAGAGAGTCGAATTCACACAACGCGCGCATATCGCGAAGGTGCGACTAACATTTGTCTCCGATCACGCGTAGATTATATCGGCAACACATTGTGATGGCCACAAAAATAAGCAGTAGCCGATAACTCACTGATTATCTGCTCGAATGATTAAATAAAAAACTTGAATGTCGTAATGACTACACGTTAGATAATCAAGGATCCAGGGACATTTAGGCCTGATTCTCACTATCAAAATCTCGATAAAAATCTACTGTTATCAGAAAATTTCAAAGATTAAACGTCTCCTATAGTATAGTTCTATACAATTGCAAAGTTGTCTTATGTCTCTTTTAACTTTAAAAAAGCATTACTAAAATATGTATGTATATATACATATATATGTATAGATTTTAATAATGCTTTGTGTGTGTTGTTAATATTATAAAGCAGGATAATATTTTTTTCGTAATTATTCGGGATTTGTTTTATTTTTACATTTTTTTATATATACTTTCTTCATGGAAATCGAAAATGAGATGATAAAACAACAACGCTACATTCAAGAAAAAATTGGTACATTGAAATAGAGATAATAAAATAAAATCCTTATTTACATCGCGATTTCAAAATCAATTATGCTTTAAAAAAACTAAAGCATTATTGACAGTGATTTCAAAACGATGTGAATAAGAATTTTATTTTTTATTTTAATGTACTAAAATTTTTCCTTAAGTATATATAGAGCATTATTACGATTATTTTAAACTTCCATAAAAAGATGTAAAAGTAAAATAATTCCTGAAAAAGATGTACATTCGTTTTATCGATAAAAAGATAAAAAACAAGTAGAACAAAATGAAAGCCGGAATTATGTTGCACAAAACAAATACATACCTAATTAAATTGAACAAAAGTCAAAACGATGAAGCTTTGATAGTTATAAGATTAAGATTGATGAAAGATAATATATGAATCAAGATCTTATTACTTGTAAAATGAAAATTATCTAAAGTTTCAAGAAATTTCCCCCTATTTTATTGTTACGAACGTTTTGTTATAAATGTTTTAAGCTACACAACCACACTGAAATTTGTTTGTCATGCAAGTGGTAAAGTTCGAATTTGAAAATGCTTCTTTATCCGAGCGAAGAATTGCTTGTTAGTCTTATCGACATCGTTTGCACGTAATTATAGTTTCGTTTTACAGCCGCTATGTGCACGTGCACATATTCTCTTTTTCACAATATTGCAAAATGCTATGATAGAACTGCCTCAAAAAATAAAAAAAAATATTATAAGCATTAAAATTTCACAATAAAAATCTTATAAACATAGTTTTATGATTTCTGAATTAAAATGTGCCTTCATCATGCTGAACGATCGTTTACTGCAGGTGGCATTTATTTATCGTCAAGAATGATATAATTATTAATTTTATGAGCTTATTAACGCATTATTTCGTACATGTGTAATTAAATTTCACATGACATATTATATCAATGAGTAAATAGAAATTAATTTTCTCTATCATTAATTTAAAAACAAAGTGGTAATTTATACTTTCTTAATTTTAAATATTTAAATCATACAGTTCAGTCACATATTAATAAGTTCACTCAATTCACACACGAAACAAAATTTTTTCTCAAAAATTTAATTCTTAGACTCACAGTATTAATTGCACTATAAAGTTATATTTTAGATTAATAATTATCTAAATTTTATAAAATATACTTTTTTAATCTTAATACATATTATGTTTACATATTATTTACAAAAATTAGAAATACATTTTTATAAAATTTAAGCAATATTTATCTAAAATATAATGTGTTGCAAACTAATACAGTAAGTTCAAGAATTAAATTTTCTAAGATTGTTATTTTGAATTAAATCGTCGAAAAATCCATTTTGATACCGTGTATAAAAATATTTTTTTAAAGTTACAATATTTTAAAATACTCTTCCGTATCTCAGACTTGTTTTTGTGTGATAGGTAGATATCTGTGCGATATACATGATAACCGATTGATGTTTGTTAACATACAGTTCCAACATCTTTGATAATACAGTTTTATTGTCAAAGACCATATAAATGACAATCAAAATCCAATGTCTTCATAAATAATTCATCATGCGAAATACAAGCTCATTAAGTAATATAAATAAAATTTCATAAGGACGAATCTATAAAACCGACATTATAATGTATCAAAGAATAAAATTTTTTTCCAAAACTCATTTAAGTAGTTTAATTAAGTAAAATATAAAATTATATCTAAAATTTAACAAAATGAAAATTATTTTAATTATGTTATTAACAGTAAAATTATTTTGATATGATATTTTAACTTACTATTTTGTTTGCACAACCAGAAATTATATAACTACTTTCTAATAAATAATGAGTTAAGAGAAATGTTGCAAAGAGATCGCTATCAATTTCATCGTGACGCAAATAGCATTATTATGAATGTTTTATGTATATATTGCTATTGCATACATGGTTGAAAGTAAATACGGGAAGTGACAATTATTTATGAAGGAAACCCAATAAAACCGATCAACTGATTCATGCATTTCTCTCAAGTCTTTCTCCAGCTATTTTTCTTAGAAATTTCTTATACAGAGATCCATAGTTTAGTGTTAAATGATCTCTCGTCATATATTACTCAAGAAGCACATTTTTTTAATTTTGAAACTTCTCAAGTATGATTTATATTCATGTTAATTTTAATTAATGTAAACCTGGTAAGTGTAATATATGAGTATTTAAAGATTAGCACTCAAATTATAAAAAATGATAAATGATGTAGTAATAATGTGAAACTGTGAATATACAATAATTCAGTCAACGTTAGAGTGAGATAAAAAGTCGTGCATTACAATTTATCACATTTCAATAATCGCAATATAAAAAAAAAATGAGTTTACTTATTATTTACTTAATATTGAAGATATAATTTTTAATTAGATTCTTCTTTCGCAATTACGACGCGAAATATTTATTAAAACAAATGATTATAAAACAAATTATCTTTTTCTGATCATTTCTATAATTTGTACAGAATCTTTAAATATTTTATTTAAAAGTAATTAATTTTTTAAATTTATTTATAAATTACATTAATTACATCAATAATCAAATTTTTTGCATGTTTCATAGAATGCTTTCTTTAATTGTTTTTTATTCAAGAGATACAAAAACTATTTGAAATTAGCATTTGTTTTAGCAGCGTGTTTAACTTTCTGCAAATAGTTGCGTTTACATCTTTATAAATAAAATCAATTATTTTGGTACATATGCAATTGTCAGAATTATATAGATTTCAAGATGTAGTTTTATTTTAGCTCAATAAATGAGAGTTGCTAATTGCCGCTATTGTCTGCACCTCTTATAGTTATTTTAATATTATCATTTTAATTATATTAATAAGAAAGTTTGAAGTGATTTAGTAGTAAGTCTGTGCCTCTGTGTGCGTGTGTGTGATGTATGTGTAAAATTGAAAAATCCTCTGACTACTAAACTTACTCGAATTCGCCCACACAACCATGTCTGTTTAATTCGTAATTTTCACACGGGCAACGTTTGTTCAATTATTAGTGACTTATAAAATCCGTATGATGAGATCGACAGAGAGCCGTAGCAAATTATAAATAATATATACAGACTTATCTCATGTAACATTTCTCGTCTAGGTACAGTAGGCAAAAAAAAAAAGATAAAATGATGCTCATCCGAATACACGTTTTCATCAGCAACGAAATCTTCATGTCTTCTTGTTTTTTTTTTGCATGGTGGTTTTATTTTCCACTAATGGTGTCCGTTTCTGCGACGTCATAATAAAGAGTATACGTAATATCAATACATCAAACACGAACAATTATATATATTTTTATTATAGTAAGAAAAAATTTAAAAAACTAGAATATTTTTAAAATTTAAATAAACAGGAGATTGGAAAAAACTACAGTCAATTTCAACATGATTAATCGAATGTTTATATTTGCTACAATTGTATTAAACTATAATGTTTTCTATATATTGCTGAAAAGAAGCATATGAAACAGTGTCTATGTATTCAGTAACAAATAACAAACATGTTTATTATGTACTTACACTTCTGCTTACTCAGCATTAGTGTTACCTCTAGTAGGAAAGTCATAATAAGAACTTGTATAGTAAATTTTGAAATGTAATTTATATCTGTAAATTAAAAAATTTACAGGTATTATAAATTACAATATATTATTTTTACAATTCTGCATGTTAAACATAATGCAATATCTTCATTTATTGGAACATTTTATCAAGGTGGAAAACAAAAACAGAATACTCAAGTGGATGCTAACCGATCATATGCTTTACTTTAGATCTTTAAGTAGAACAGTAACAGCAAATTGTAAAACAATTTTTTACCTCTTTTATATTCCAATTCTGTAATTCGTAATCACAGTGTTAGTATCCGTATGTAGTAAAAAAAAATAGTGCAATGACAATATAATAATAAAGAAAGTAATAAATTATTACATTAATTAAACCCAAATTTTGTGTATATTGTAATAAACATCAAATTTGAAGATGTTATTCATTGAAATTATTTAGTTAAATTATTCTGTCTTGTTAAAATATCCTTGAATTAAATTAAAAAATTTTTTCCAGATGGTTCCATTAAAAAATCAGATTTGAAGGAGTTTTAATTTTATAATTATTTTTTACTTTTTAATATTCTGCATAACATTTTTAAATTAATGATATTTTCTTTTTTTCTTTTTATGTTTTTGTTTAAGATTTTATTTTTATTTCTAATCTTTTCTAATTTTTGTTTTAATACTGCTTCGTTATTACGCATTAAGGTGTGAAACATTTCTGCCTGCTGTTTTAGACGTTCTTCCTGTAATTTTTCTAGCTCTCCTATTACTTTTCGCAATTTTTCATTTTCCAACAATAGATTATCACTTGAACAATTAGAACCTGTAATATATCATAAATTGTTAAATAATAAATAAGTAAATTAATATATATATATATATTGCTTTTTTCTTTTTAAAAAGATTTTATATATACATTTTAATTTCACTGTAGTTTCATGATTTTCAATCTGCTCAGTCTGTTCTTCTTTCATAATAAAATCATTGTTTGGATTATCTATAATAAATATTTTTATATTTTTAGTTTTGTTTAAGACTACATGTATATTGTAGAACTATATGTATATTGGTTAGACATAAAAAATATATAAAATATACTTAGTTCTATATACTTTATTAATTTTTAGCTTATATGAGGTATAATATTCTGATTTGCATTTTATATGTTTTTCTTTCTAGAAAACTTATACATACCTTTCAATATTGTTATAGTTTCATAATTTCCAATCTGTTGATCAGTCCATTCTTCTTTCACAATATTATTGTTTGGATTATCTATAATAAACATTTTTTAAATTTACAATTACATGTATAACTGTATAATAACTGTATGTAAATTACATGTATGTATATAGTGTATACTGTACATTTTATTAATTTTTATCACATTTATAGGATAGAATATTTTAATTTACATTTCACATAAATGTGTTTTCTTCCTTAAAAAAATTTTTACCATACCTTGGAACATTGTTGTAGTTTCATCATTTTTAATCTGTTCATCAGTCCATTCTTCTTTTACAATAACATCATTTGAATTATCTATAATAAACATTTCTGTTTTGTTTACAACTGTATATATAGTTATATATATTGAATATATAAAGTATTCTCTATTTTGTATATTTTATTAACTTTTAATATATGTATATAAGGTACAATAGTCTGATTCATATTTCACATAAATGTTTTCTTCTTTAAGAAAATTCATACATACTTATCAACATCGTTGTAATTTCATAAATTCCTGTCTGTTGATCACTCAGATTTACTGTAGGAACAAGATCATTTTGTTTATCTAAAATAAATACTTTATTATTTTGCTATATGTCCTGTATTTTATCAACTTTCAGTATAAGTTATAAGATATAATATTCTAATTTTTTTGTTATTTAATATCATATACATTTTGACATTATAATTTAATATCAAATAAACTTACATTCACTGATTTTATCCGCTGTGTCTTGCTCGAATATTTGTAATATGGTTGTGTGTACATGTTGTGTTGGTATTACATCTGGTTTTAAAAATCGTTTTTGAGCTTTATTTATGTCATTATAATAATCGTTCTTTACAAAATGCAAACCACATATTCGAGCATCTGAATGTGGAGACCAATTATTTCGACCTGTAGCCGCAACCCAATATTTCATAACTTTCTCATTTTTAAATGGAAATCTAAAAAAATTAATTTAAAATAATTATAATGTAGAGACTGAGATTTAGGCAAAGGGTTCTCACAGACATGTTTACATCCATCAGGTAAAAATAGATATAAGGAAAGTTAAATTGTAAAGTGTGAGGTATTTTTACATAAATTCATAATTATTTTTATTTTATTATTTACACATCTGTGAGCAATTGTCAAGATTTTTAAAGAATATTTTATGAATTCCAAAGATATAATTATTTACTTGATTTATATTGAACTTTGATTTATATTGAAAATCATGTAAAAATTGTTATAAAACTAAAGGTAAAGCCTTGAATTCCTCTATAATAAAATCAAATTAATTACACTTACTTATGAAATGTTATGTTTAAATCCTTCTTTTGTTTTGAACTTTTGCAATTTTTAATACTACAAGATCTAGGCATTATGATCTTTTAATTTTCCTAAATATTTAGACACCGATTACCTATCATCAGTATCATCTACGAATGTTAATGTTATCAAACATATGTAGGCCTGTTCTTTTTAGCTAAACTTGCACGGCTTATCTTTCTTCCTTTTCCATCATGTTAAAGAGAAAAAAAGAAAAGATGAATCGTGTAAGAACCCAGGAACTTTAGCTAAAAAGAACAGACTTGTAGCGTTTTCTCTTGGCTGCACTAGAGTCCCTAGATATCAAAGAAGCGCAACCGGTAAAAGTATCGCAAAACTACTAAGAAAAGTACTAAAAATGGCGTCGTTTGCAGACGAACTATGAAATCCACCAATCGTCTATTAATCAGCCATTTTTAGTACCAATGAATGAATGTCATGATTGGCTGACAGTTAGGGCTGCCGCACACACCTTCCGTAACAGTAACCATAACATACCGTAAAAATCAGCCAATCAGAATTAAGAGTACAAAAGAATTCTCGATTGTGATTGGCTAATTCTTAAGGTATGTTCTTATGGTTACTGTTACGGAAGGTGTGTGCGGCAGTCTTAAGCGGGGAGCACAGACTTTTGCATAACGCATAAACCATATACATAAACAATTTGATTGGTCCATTTTCTTATGCATGAGTCAATGGACCAATCAAATTACGGAAGGTGTGTGCGGCAGTCTTAAGCGGGGAGCACAGACTTTTGCATAACGCATAAACCATATACATAAACAATTTGATTGGTCCATTTTCTTATGCATGAGTCAATGGACCAATCAATGGATTACGTTTACGGCCTTACGTTTTTCTATGTGCCATGGGCTTTACGCCAATCGGTCCCTATATTCCTATGTCCATAACCATGGTATAATTAACAAGGTATAGCCAAGCGCAGGGTGGGGATACATCGCCGACCAATCCCAATATAGCGACGATATGTAGCGCGAATTCAAACTCGGTTTCAGCAGCGATAAATTTTAACGTAGTATTCATTATTCTACAATGTAACATAACAGTGCAAAAATCTAATAATAATAAATTGCACCAAAATAATGAGATAAATATGTTTTTAAGTTGATGTAAGTATGTTTATAAGCAACATTGAGTGAAATCAGTGAAATGTAGTTTCCAGTCAATTGCAATTAAAAGTAATAGAATAGATTGAATTGAAGTAACAATTTTGTAGTGATTCCGTTTACAAAATAACATCTTTTATTGTAGTACATTGAGGCATGAGACAATTAATTTTGTCCAAAAAATAAATTAACTTTTTATATACATTATACGGATGATAATAAAAAAACTTATTACTACTTGTAATGGAGTGAAATATGTCGAATACAATTTTATTTATTATTTATTTCTTATTGTCAGCAACAGCTGCACTGTTATGGTTATGAAAACTCGATACTACTTGTACGATTGTAGGAGGTGTTAAAACAAATATCAAGAATTAAAAAGAGATATTAAATAAACTTTGTTCCATAGTAAGTTGGTAAATACGTAATTATTTTATTAAATAGTCTTATTACAGATATGTAACCGATATGTCGCTACCTTCTGATTGGTCGATACTTTTAGTCTACTGCGCATCTTCTGATGGCTATACCTTGTTAATTATACCATGGTCCATAACCTTGTATAATTCCACCATGTTTGCCTCGGAGTCCTCGCCCTCTCCCCCCCCCCCCCCCCCCCCCCCATATGCACAGCACTACTAAATTCACGAGCGCTGCGAGTGTTGAGAATCGGAAACTGAACTCGAAACCTAAAATGGGTCCATGTTTTGTAGACTGGCGAGACTGAGTGGAGTCTCCTTATATCTTCCTTCATGATTCTGTGACTGTGATACATTTCCTAACCTCGATATTCGTTAATTTTAATGCTTAATATCTCAGTTCGCGGTGCAAAGTGACGCTTATTTCTGTCAAATTCTTTTATTTCATGCAAAAATGCGTTGCATAAGATCAATTTTATTAATTTTTGAGATGCAGAGGCCGTAAACTGAATAATTACCTTTGAGATATATACAATATTCTTCGCTGGCGACTGGTTCACCCTGAGGAATTCTGATCGATGTGACGGACAAGCTTTTATTTCACACGAGAACTTTTGGGAGCTATATCCTTAAAGACCAAATAATTCGACGCTTGAGATGAGAAACAGTTACGTCTGGATTAGAAGTGAGTCAAAGCTCAATTAACATATTAAAATTGGCTCCATTATGAGTTTCTCATCATGTATATTGTTTATTATATATTGCTGCCAAGCATAGTTCAATTTCTGAGTGCATTAGTTTATATTCCTTTTTCTTTTGGGGATATTATGTGTAGTTATTGGTTTATTAATTTATTATTAATATTATTTACTATTTGTTAATTATTTCTGTATACATCTTGTTAATTTTTCGTGTTTTATGTTTTAATTTATTATGTGTGCCTATGTTATTTATATCTTGCTATCTTAGTGTATATACGTTTTTCTTACAATTAGTATTCATCATTCTATTGTTTGATTATGTCGTCCAAGATTAACTTACCCAAAAGAATACTAGATCTCGAGAATATTCTTTCGAATCTAAGGCTGATAATTCTACATCTATAATGTTTCTAAGAAACCAAAAATTTGAAGATTGAAGTAAGATTAATTGAAAACTTTGATAGCTTTAAATCTAAAGAGATGAGCAATGATAAAATTACAGTATTGATAAAAAAAAATGTATTACTTGAGAATTCCCTAATAATTCTAATTCTAATAATATTTCTTCGAATTTATTGAGCATAACAGTTAATAGTAGTAAATTACCTGATATTCAAAATGCAGAGCAATACCCAACAGAATTAGTGTAATACTTTTACAGAAAGAAAAGAATAGATATTTTCGAGAGAAAGTGTGGTACTTTTTTGGTACACATAAAATTGACTACAGAAAATATAGGCGATCTCCACTCTCTAAGTTTGAATGCTTGTTTAATAAACATAATAACGAAAATGAAAGTTACTTTTACAGTTACTTTTTATAACAATATGGTAACAGTGTTGCAATTTTTTATAACTGTAATGATAACTAACTAAACGCTTAAAAGGCTAAAGAGCTTAGTTAGTTATTATTACACAGTCATAACAAATTACAACATTGTTACCACGTTATTATAAAAAGTAACTGTAAAAGTAACTCTTCCATTCCTTGGGTATATAAATGCATTTTGCTACTCTTTAAAGACTAAAGAACTTTACAACAGTTGCAAAGCTGCTTTTTCTGCTGAATGCAGCCAATGAAGCCCTAGGAGCTCAGAGATAATTGAAAAACGATGACGACATTATTGACAATTAATAAAAAAATTTGCGATTATTATTATAAATATTTCGATAACACAATTTCAATGTATCAGAAATTGTGTATTCTGGTGTAACCGATTTCTGATAGATTGAAACCGTGTTATTCCTATCGCTATCGCTGTTCGATCATATTGTGTTTGGGGGGAGCTCAAGAAATTGACCAATTACAGTCGATTATTCTTCTCGCATTAGACTGTGATTGGTCAATTTCTTACTCTTCTTACTTCGTGTATGTACATACGATAGACGACGCATTACATGATGGGATCACCCAGGGTATGCGTTTTCTTTCTCCATTTATAATTCTTGAATCGTGCGCACCAATCAATGCGCATGTATGTTGTCAATCAATAAGTCAAGCTTTATTTCGTGTTGCTGTTTTTCGTCGATATAGCGACTATTCAGGTGACCCAGTTCTGGAGGATCACTCGGCCACGGTGAACGCGTTTTGGTACAGGTGCCATATAATTGTATATTTTTGAAAGTGTTGCTGAGTAAGGCCGAAATCAGACTACGCATTAATGATTGAGATTGAAGATTATAAAAGATTGAAATTTGGCCAATAAAAATAATAGAAGCTAAAATTCCTTTATTCTCATTGGACAAATTTCAATTTTCAAAAGCATTTGTATCCTACTTGTTTGTACCGTGAATTTGGACGACCCGTTCATTTGTCCTGATGGATATCCTTGTGGCATGAAGACGTCGTAGACCGGGCAGATGCTCGGTGTTCGGGCGGACTATGCCATTTTCGCGGACATTGTATCATTTTTCGACTTTGCATAATTCTCGTAAAACGTGATATGAGTTACGGTCCACTTGATGCTACAAATGCTTTGAAGCATTTTTTGATCGATCAATTATGCATGATCTATGATGGTAGTAGTAGTAGTGGATGAGACTATAAGAATAAGAAATTGACCAATCACAGTCGATTATTCTCACATTCGACTGTGATTGGTCAATTTTTTACTCTTACAGTTTCATCTACTACTGCTACCGACCACCCATTAGTATAATTCTTTCTTCTGATTGGTCAATTAAAAGCTTCGAAGCATTTCTAGCGTCAAGTGGACCACATCCCTGGCCGCCGTATTCACCTCCTATCCTACAATTTCAGGAGGTGGGAGCTATTAATTAAAGAAGTAGCAGACGCCCCGTGTCCAGACAGGTCACACCATTTTCGCGGGCATTACATCACTTTTCGATTTTGCATAATTCTCATAAGACGTGATCTAGCCATATCGGCCTCCTACAATTTCAGGAGGCGGAAACCATTAATTGAAGAAGAAAGTTTTCTAATCTAAATAGTCGTCAACTTTAATTATTAATATCTCAATTCGCTGAGTAGAACGAAGTTTTTTCTACCAGATTCGATCATTTCGTGTAAAAACACGTCAAATAAGCTTAATTCTATCGATATCAGAGATGTAGCTCAACTCAATAATTACTTTGATAAGTATTTTGTTATCTACAATAGTTTAATAAAAAATAATCTTGTTGTAGATCATGGAAACATCAGAGAGCTCAGTAGAACCTGCTAAAGTCGCCGAGGAAAGCGAAAATGTACGTATCTGCAATTTTGTAAGATAGAAAATATTTTTTCATTTGTGTTTGTGTTTGGCTTATTTGGTAAATAAGAAATTACTTACTGTTTAATAAGCAGTGGAACTAATCACAACAAGAAAAACAAACTCACGTATTTGTATCCTTTAACATTTCTATTAATGTGTATCATTTTTTTGTAAGTCTTTATAATTTTATTGCATGCAGTGTGAGGAGAGCATCAAAGGCTATGTAGAGCCTAGATTTGAATGTCCCATTTGTTTAACATGGCTGCGCGATCCAGTTTTAACATCTTGTGGCCATAAATTTTGTTCTCAGTGTATTTACACTTGGCTTAAGTAAGTTGTATTTCATTTAAATCTTATTCTACAGTTGTATATAAGTTGACTGGTTATTATAAATTATTAGGAAAGAAGGCGCTTGCTGTCCAGTTGATAGTCAACCTTTGAAATCTGAAAATCTTTTCCCAGATCTTTACACCACTAGAGAGATATCTCAGAAACGTACAAGTTGTATTTATCAGCAATTTGGTTGTCAAGTAAAATTGTCACCTGTGGATATGGAAACGCATATCACTCAATGCACATACAAACGAGATATTTCAGAGCCTCGAGGTATATTTGAGATATAATCAAATTAATACAAATTAATACAAATTGCTCCTATTTTTTAAATTAATTGTTATAATTGTCTAATAGTACAAAATGGCACTAATGCAATGTCTGTGGAGTCAAAATTATGGGATCCTGTAAAAAATAGGACACAAGTTGCAGACAAGGAAGAGCCTTCTCCCGATTGGCAACAATTGCTCAAGTAATTTCAATACGATTTTTAAAATACTACATTTTCATATGCTGAAATATTAGATTGTTCAGAAAGTTCGTTTCAATTTTGTAACTTAAAATTATATATACATCTTTGTAAAAAATGAACGAAATTTAAATTATATAAAAAAGATTTTAAAACTTGAAATCTCTACTTTTGAAAGGTTCCTTCTATATTTTTTAAATTTCTATAAGTTTGGTAATTTTTACATATGAAAAATTATTAGCTGAAAAAAAGGGAAAATCTTTCTTTTTACTTTGTGAGTCTTTCACGTACCCCCCCAAAAAATTTGCGAGAATTTTCGACTACTTACCGTGAAAGCTTGAAACTTTCTCTACAAAATAATTTTTTTTAAATGTTCTTACGATTTTTTGTTTCTGAGTTATTGCTTATAACTCCGTTAAAAGTTATCGTACCACAATTAAGAAATCAGATTCTTAAAGCTGAAACTGTTCTATCAAATATAGATATCATATATTGCTAATTATTAAAAAAAATATATAATATACTATTTTGAGTTAGAAAATTTGAAACGAGCTTTCCAAACAACCTAATATATACGAAAGATATAAATTTTGTTTTTAGAAATCTATATGAAAGAATAATAGTCTTGGAACAAGAAAATCGGGAGCTCTCTATAACAGTATCTAATCAGAAAAATCAGCTCGCAGCTATGTGTTTACGAAATTGTAATGGAGTTTATATATGGAGATTGAAATCTTTCCAAGAAAAACTTGACGCTATGATAAATGATCCTCAAAAAATGTTCTATAGTCCAGGTTTTTATACAAGTCCAAATGGATATAAGATTTGTGCAAGGATTAATATATCATCCAAGGATCCCGATTATCTGTCTTTTCTTTTACATATTATGAAATCAGAAAATGACGACGCTTTGGACTGGCCGTTTAATGGCACAATGTTTTTTGCGTTAGTACATCCGCAAAATTCGGAACAAAATATATGCGAAAAAACATCGTCAATATCAGGTCTTGAGGCATTCCAAAAACCCACGTACGAATTAAATAAACGTGGCTTCGGTTATGTAGAATTTATACGTGTACGTGACATAACTGATTTTCTGCAGCACGATACTTTAATTTTTAAAATTGAAGTTTATCCTATGTCTTATAGAGATAACACCAAAAAGTTATTATGAATTAAAACATGAGTAAACTTTATAAATAACACATTTATAACATAAATATATTTATAATATATATTATTTTTATAATATGTACTATAGAGTGTTTCATTTTAATTTCCCCAGGTAAATACTTTGAAAATACATAAGATACAAAATACCGTTTCAAATAAAAGTTATAAAGGATTTGTTCTGAGTTACGCATGAAACGTGTAAATTACGTGTAAAGTCATTCCGATTTAACCAATGTAATGCTTGCATTGGAAGTTGAAAGCACTGTAGCACTGAGAATTTCCTAGATTGTACTATCCGTACTGAATTCTTAGCACTCCTTAGTGTTCATTGACTGATTTAAGCTGGAGTCCCATGAGGCGTATTTGCTGCGTATCGGGTAACCATACGTAATCAATCAGTAATCAGTAAAACGCGAAACCACAACAGATTACTTCTGATTGGTTACGTAATTACGCGATACGCGGCAAATACACCTCATGTGACTCCAGCCTTAGAGACTCTATTTCGACTTTCGGCACACCGTTGATGCGTCGTAATGCATTCATGCAGTCTATGTGCTTCATGTATGTGTGCGTTCGAAATGAATATTTGTGGTATTGTGGTTCTTAAATGGATCTAAATCTATCTATGGGCTCTAAAGAAGACGAAGAAGAGCGAATATTATAGTAAAGAAGAAATGAATGGACAACTTGAAGCCTTATCCTTTCGACGGTCTTTTTTCCTTTAAAATTTTGAATTTTTTGACGTAAAATTTATGTACATATATATAGAACCTACATGTTGCGCAAATTTTCCGAATTTATTGCTGGCCACTATAGTGGCCAGGCTAGAGCGGTCCTAAATGGTACGGCCAATGTTGAAAATGTTCAAATTTTGGATTTTAGCGTCTTTAAGGATTTTTGATACCATTAATCACGATTACGACATCAGATTATCAAAATTTTATACAGAAACAATGTTGCCAACCTAATGTGTCTGAATAAGTAACAGCATTTACAATCATGCATGAAATTTTTCTTCAGCATTACTCAGAACTAACAACGTGGACATAGAAAGTTACGTATATAGCTCCTTTTTTGTTTATTCAGCTTCATATCTTTTTTTATTTTCTTCTTTTATATTTTTACATTTTTATTTTTTTTCATATTTTTGATTTTACTATTTTTTACTTTTTTGCTACTTATTTTACATATAAATATATGCTTCTCAAACACACATATGTTAATGTATATGCATATGCACCTATTATACATCTTTATATAAATATATATACATTAAATAGTTGTCTATCTCTGACCACTATAGTGGTCACTGCGGCCTTTTAAAGTTTAAAAGATGTTCATTTTATATTATAATTAGTTTATTTCATTTTAAGAGAGTTTGGAAGTCAATCTTCAAAATTTGATGTCATCTTATTATATTAAATATTTTATAATAATAAAAATAAAATTAAATTATATATAATAACAATATGTCAATATAATATAGTAATACAATATTATATATATAATATTTTGCAGAAACTCTTAAACAAATGTGCAATTATGTGTGTTTACTTACAATAACTACACATACACTTGTGCGCGCGCATGCACACACACACAAATTTATTAATTTAATAAATGTACATGAAATTTTTAATGATGAACGTTTCGGTTAACATTTTTAGCCATTCTCAGATATCACGTGAAAGTGGGATACTGATTAATATAATATGTGCATCAAGCTGCAGTCAATAGTAGGGTGAAAGTATAAATCGTAGTACATGCAAATCGAAATATATTGTTTAACACAATTTCAAAACTATAGCGTTTCTGGCCGTAACGGGTTTGAATTAGTACTTGGAATACGCGGGAAATCCGGGTCATCTACCCGTTAATCATTTGTTGTACATAAGTGAAGACCGATTCTGCAGGTATAAATATAATGTATATTGTTATAGGAAATATTTCCATATATATGTACATATATGTATATTGTATATATCAGGATTGCCACAAGTCTGGCTTTACATCTTTCTTGACTTTTTTTTTTTGGAAGTCGATTAGTGAACATTAAAGCCTCCATTTGTGTACAATTATTGGGAAGACCGAGGAACATTGCAAAGTATAAGTGATTCTGGGTCAGGGAAAAATCTCAAAATTGCAAATTTGTGGCAACCCTGTATATACATAATATACATATATATATATATATATATACTATATGTATACATGTATTAGTTTCTTTTTTTGAAACAAACATGTATTAGTTTTCTTCTGTTCGATACAAAAATAAGAAACCATAAAAAAAGAATAATTTTTACAATTCATCGAGAAAATATGAATGAACAAGAATATTAAAATCTTATATTGACTATAGTAAAATGTATTATGCTAGTAAATATTTTAAATATTCATATTTCTTTATTTGTTTATGTTCAATTATTCGTAATATGAATGTAATGCGTTAACCGTCTCATGCGTGCAATGTAGATGTTTATACATATAAACTATAAAGCGTCTACTCTACATGATACAAGTATTCGTGTGATACGAGTACCCGGATTTGATCTTCATCTCCTGTGGGCAACAAATTACTAACAAATAAGTAATATTATCTGGTTCTTTTCCAAACACTAGTTTGAATCAACCTAGGTTGGATTAATGACGTTATATGGTTTACTAATGATTAACGTTTCGTATGCTTTATAGTACAACATGTAACATCAATCGAAAACTTTACTAAATGAATTCAAACAACTCTGTGCGTGCGTGTTGATTCGATTCTTATTAAGATTCATAAAAAAAAGTAAATAAGAGTTGGTAATCTTGCTTTAAGAACATAGCTAATGCACATACTCTAAATATTTTACGTGTAGTTGATGCATGAAAAAATAAATCAAACAAAAATGAAGTCAAATGGTAGTAGAATAAATTAAAACTTAAAATCGTTTAGATGGATAAGTGATATAACCATGAAACCCAAGTATAAAATGATGAGTAATCACAATTAAAGGCATCGCTGAGATAATAAAAAAAACAAAGTCGGTCATAAAATCTGTTGAAATTACAATAAATATTGAAAAACTATTATAGTATCAATATTTTGGTGTTAAGATTTTTGATTGAAAATTATCTCAAGAATCTGCTATTAATCATTGTTATATGAAGACTGCAATTACATAATCAATTATGAATATTCGAATGCATCTTATATTCGAATTTTTTCTAAGCTGATTTTTTTGCACATGTTTAATCAATTTGATATAAGTTATGCAACAGCTTTAAGATCAATGTTTGTCTTCCTCTACGAATTAACAATTTAAATTTTATTTCTTGTGCAATATTTAATCGCATATACATGTAGTGATGTTTCTAATTTCAAATCAATTGTACTTTGTGTTTGAAGTATTTAAAAACGTTGGTATACAAACTCACATTGGTGATATTATGACAAACTATCATTCTTTTACGAAAAATATATTAAAATTTTGTTGACACGTATATACGAGAGAGTTGTCAAGTGAGAGCTGTGTGAGAGTGAAAGAGTGTGCCCTCGTATAATTTTAATTATGATTCATTTGATGCTACAAATGTTTCAAAGCATTTTTTGATTAGTCAATAGTATAAAATATAATCAATAGTATAATTCTTCTTTCTGAATTTTGTCAATCAAAAATGCTTCAAAATCTAAATGATACTATTTTTCACTTCAAAAAAATAAAATATAAGTAATACTTACGTACGTATCATTTTGTATAAAAGACTGATATTCATAACTGACGCCAATTAAGGTATAATCATATAAAAATTATGTTACCTTACTTAATCCAAGTGATGTGTTTTCTCGAATTTGTACTCAGCGTATAATTCTCTGTTTCAACTCAAATGGTTATATATTTTTGTTTTTAATCCAAGATTTAATAATATTTAAAATAAAAAGCTCGGTGCAGCTATATTAGCATATATATGTATAATTACGTCAAAACATTATACATGAATATTAAATAATTTTGTAACGACCGTATTGTCAAACAAACGAGGAAAGAATTACCGCCTATAACGGTCAAAGTGCTTATTATAATTATGCGTGAATTTTTATATACTAAAGTACATATGTAGTCCCCCCCCCCCCCCCATATAATTGCGCGCTGATATTCTCAAATTCTCGTAAGTGCTTTGACACGCGTATATTTCTTCATATATATATATAGTATCTCGACTTAACATCTAACACAGGCGTATAAGGTAGGCTTCCATTACAATGCCTTACTGATGAGTCCAGTAATGGAAGCCGGGACGAAACGCTAATAACTATGTGATATTTTTCGTAACATAAAGAATAAATTAAAGATCTAACTATTTATGGAATTTTAATTTATCATCTTCATATTTAATTGTAATTAATCAAGTAAAAATTGGTGATATTACTATTGTAGTAATTATGCGTTATGTCTGAATGTTATCAGCGCGCAATTATGGGGGGACTACATATGTAAAGGTCTACAAGTTTGCTCCCGCCGTTTTCATATAGATAGTTTTATACCTGTAAAAACGGCGGGAGCAAACTTGCATAAAAATTCACGCATAATTATAAGAAGCACTTTGATCCAGCTTTGACCGTTGTAGGCGGTAATTCTTTCCTCGTTTGATTATACATGAATTTACGACTTACGTTTTATGACTCATTGTCAGTTACGATCATCTGTGTATAGCTGAGACCTTTGGATTTGTTACTGCTTTTGTAATAGCTTTATCATCTTTATTGTCATCAATTTGTTTACTGCTTATGCTTTATAGCTATTTTTATGTACTTTGGTATGTTATAATACTTATAATTATAGTCTATGATATTTTGAAAAAGTTTTGTTATAATCAAAATTGAAGGAATAGACGTCTATATAAATTCAGGTCTGTCCAAATGTCGTAGAGTGAAGGAGCCGAGAGAGTGAGTTTTTTCTCAATCTGCAATAGTAGCCGTTTTTAATTTGCATTTAATTATCATCTTCTACCTCTATGTGATATCCATAATGGTGCTATATTGATCTTCTTCAAGCATCGTTATTTTTTATTATAGTAAAAATATGAATGTTCCCATATAGCACAAAAGTTTGCAGCAATTGCAACACATTTGGATAGATCTGAATTTAGGCAAAGCGCAGGTGTCTATTATTTGTTATTTACGCTTCGTCTCCTACCTAGACCTAGATATCGGAGAGGTGGTGGACGCGTGTTTCAGCTCTCAAGCCGAGTTTTGAAAGAACAGGTTTGATATATGATATATAAGTTATTATTTAAATTTAACCAGACTCGCATACGTTGATCACTTTACACATACGAAAATTAAATAAATTTATTATAGCTTTAAAACCCGTTACCACAATTGCCTTGTATTTCGACATAGCAATAAGTTCTCAGCGGGAAATGTAAAACTATAATCAGTATCTACATCAACAAAGGTCACATGCATGAGAAAAAAAGTCCAAGGATGGCTAAAAGGCGCGATAATTACGACACTGTAAATTCTTTATAAATTCTACCTACTACCTTATCGTGAGCAGTGGGATTTCGTACAGTTAACTTGATTAGCGCCGAGACACTACCGTGTCTTCTGATCGGTACGCTCGTTAAAATGAGTAGAAGCTATGGTAAGAATATGATAGAGCATACGATGTGAATAAATCTTATAGTTACAGCCACGGAGGATCAATTGTAACAAAGTAAATTATTACAATGGAAAAATAAATTTGTGAAATAGAGAAATATAATTTAGTAATAAAAGTATATTAAAAGTGCGAATTTTCGAAATTCTTCGTATATTTTCATTAGCGCTGTTTGTAAAAGTTTTAATTAACCTTTTTTGGACGGAACACAAACCCAGAAAGTTCCTTTGTTGCACAGAAAGGCAATGCCGGCCTTGGTTATAATTTTAATCTTTTTTTAAAAAAAAAATTAAATATCTTTTTTTTATCTTTAACTATACAAATTTTTTTAAAATTAAGATTTGTGTAGGACCGTCGATATTGAAAACAAGTAAATATATGATAATGAAATCGGCCGATGACGGTCAAGCAGAATTTTGGTTGCTAATGTAATGTGTGATGAGTCTAGTAGTGGAAGCCGGGACGAAACGCCAACTTGTGATATTCTTCGCAATCTTATTTTTCACAGATTTTAATTTATTTCTATTAATTTAACATTACATCGTTAAATTTTAATATGTCTTTCAACATATTATTAAGATCCAATAAGATGCTATAAGCATCAAAAATTTGTTAGATTGCTTGTGTCAATTTAACTAAAAGTGATATTACTACGGTAGTTGATTAGAGTTGCGTTGTAAGTCTGAAAAAATTTCGGCACGCGATTGAGGGCTATATACGTGGTAAATAAAATTCACACATTACATTAGCAACCAAAATCCTTGACCGTCATCGGCCGATTTCATTATCATATATTTACAAATTTTTTAAAATTGTAACATAAATTTGGTAAAGAAATTGTATTTAATGCCAAACAAAATCTATAAGAAATACTTTATCTTTCTTCTTGTATATTTTTATTGAACAATATAATTATATCCCAAATATTTCAATGTAATAAATATTGGTCGTGTTCTGATAATGTTAGATGTTCTGTTATTTACTGCGAGTTTTATTTATTCTGAAACGATGTAAAAATCTGTATTCGTTACTGGAGTGCGTTCAGGATTTATAGCCAGATAACTCTAGTGTGCAGTTTTGCTATAATATACGTAACGTAAATTATAGCCTAGAGTTAGTTGGATGTAATGCTTGAACGAACCCTTACAGATTTTCAGTGCTCGCAGTTAAATGCGTTTCAGTAAAAGCAGCCGTTCGAGTGCACGAGAAGTGAGAACGCAATGGGTTTTGCATTTTATATAGTAGCTATATATAATTGTCTAAAAGAGCGTTCAATAGAGAATACTTATCATATTGCAATTCATCATAAACCATTCCACAACAATTGTATTCTGCTGAATGTTGTAACTTTAAGTTCACAAACCGAGTAACTTTAAGCGAGGCCCTTACAAAAAAAACACTCAAAAAAAACACCGATAAAAACACCAAAGAAGAATAGCGTAATTTCAGATACTCAAATGGCGTTTACACCATTTGGGCGTTAACCGGCCAAAAAACGCGAAAAAATTATAATGCAGTTTTCACCCAAATGATGACAATTCTGTTAGATTGTTAAAGTAAGTATTACTAATTAGCATCAATTTTAGAATAAAATCGTGAAAAAAAAAAATTTTTCTCTAAATTCGAGAATTAATTTTTTTTCATGATGCTTCCCAAACGGTCACCCATCCGATTGTATTCACACGACCTCGCATATACTTGACCTTGACAATCGTACGGGAACTGCTGCACTTCGATGACCCACGAATCTGTATATGTCTACGTCTGTATAATTATGATATATCTGTTCAATGGAAATATTAAAAACAAATGGTTTATGTGTTTATATGATAGTGTATGTATTATAATATAGGTATTAGTGTGGTATCCGAAATTACGCTATTCTTTTTGGTGTTTTTATCGGTGTTTTTTTGAGTGTTTTTTTCGTAAGGGTAATGCGCATGACGTATCATTCTATCCTTGTTTTTCATCGAATATTATAGGATAAAATGATACATCAAATAATAAAATTCACAAATAACAAATAATTGATTAAAATCGATTTCTTATTTTATTCAAATTCGTATTAAAATCATTTCCTCAAGTGCGCAGAAATGTATTACTACATTACATTTTACGATCATCGATTTCGATGTCAGTAAATATTTTCGACACTGATGTAATTTAATTCTAACCGGATTATAGTGTCGATCATGCGTCGCGACACACAAATATTGCATCGACATATATCCGAAGCTTTGTGTCCGAATACGCAACTTTTGACACTCAATTTTTGCTGTTAAATCGTAACTTTTAGTGTCGACACTCAATTTTTGGTGTCGACACTCAAAGTTTCGGTGTCAACACACAATGTTTGGGTGTCGACACCATAAGTTGCGTGTTAACACCAAAATTTTGCGTGTCGACACTAACAAGTGTTGACATCGAAACTTTGAGTGTCGACACCCAAATGTCAGTGTCTACATCATAAATATGGGCGTCAAAACGCCGAAGAATCGGCGTTAACATCGAAAATTGAGTGTAAACAAACATAAACCTAAAATTAGGTGTAAATACCGAATTTTTAGGTATTTTTTTCGTAAGGGGGGTTATAACTCTCTCCTTCTCTGTCTCACTCTTGGTTTTAAAAAGAGTTTCAAGCTTGAAGTCAAAGTAACGTTGGTACAATCGACCCTAATACTGTTTCAGGATGCTTTCCATTTAATGGACAGTATGTGCGGCAACTCTTGTAGAGTGTTCCACACATTAAAATTTTTTATGTGCGAAATTCCACATATGAACTTTTTGAAAGAAGCTTGACAACGTATTTGTGTTCTACGATGCAACAAGTTCGGTTGAAATTATAATAATTATATTGCACGTGCACTCCAATATTGCAGCTGAGACTTTGGATATTGATCATGTATTTATGGATAAATTAATTATAAAAAATAATCGAAGTTTTCAACATTTGCTCTAAGTGTTGAAACACAAGTTAAAATAAATATAAGAATTTATTATAATAATTTTATTATAATATTATTAAATAATTTATTGTTAGAATTTCGTTGTCCATTATTCTGTTATGGCCTTAAATCAAGGCTCTTGATATAAAAGGCAATATTTTTTGCTATGGGTCTTGATATGAAAATCTATAAAAAAAAAAGTTTATAAAGAAGTTTTGAAAATAATAGTGAAAATTTTATTGTGCATCCCTTCTCTTCCCGTCCTGTATTGTCCAACTCCATGACAAATCGACAAATCAGGTCCCTTGGACACAAGGTTATTTTAGTTTTCTTTGCATTCCATAAATAACAAAGACAGAACGATACTTGTATCGACTTGTGTCACCAAATAGAAGGCATCACAGATCAGTATATGAAATTTCGAATCTAGAAAACAAGTTTTTCCTTCCCTTACTCACATATATAGAAACACTCTGCTCGTGCAACAACTGCTTCACACAAATATAAGCAGATCATCTCCTATATATGTAAGGGAGGGGAAAAGCACATGCCTATTAGAGGGCTCAAAATTTCATCATTTTCAACATACAGTATTCCGTGACGTGAACTATAGATTTTCTTATAGCGTTTTCCACTGGGAAAACTGGTGCAGCACTAGCGCCGTGCTACCCAATCAGCATACCATATTTAAAAAATATTTTGGGTAGCACGGCGCTAGTGCTGCACCAGTTTTCCCAGTGGAAAACGCTATTAGTCAAAAGGTCGAAAGTCCAACCAGGGAATTAGATAGAAGAAATAGATTTCCAATAGTGGCAGTATATATCGGAACACGCGTTGATAACACAGCCCCACAAAATTAAGGATGGGTCTTAACGAGTGAACCAGTTGATTCTTGTAGATTTTTCGATGCTGAAACCGAATCCGACCTCCAAATTTGTCCATCACGTCAGGATTTTGCGTAATTTAACGTTAAATGTGCCAAAAAAGGCATTTTTGGCAATATTTGCCATTAATTTGCGGTAAAAATAATTTTTTTTTCGAAAGTTCTTCAACGGCATTCAAAAGTATAAGGAATGAGCTTTCAAATACGCTTTTGAAATTGTCTCTACGATTTTTTTTGGTGGAATTATGAGGAAACAAAGTTGCGCTGTGGGCGCATTGCACGTACTGCTCTATACACTGATCCAAGCACAACCGCGCAGGACAAATTTGGAGGTCGGATTCGGTTTCAGCATCGAAAAATCTATAAGAATCAACTAGTCTGGTTCCACCCTTAATTTTGTGAGGCTGTGTAATCATTTCTGTCGTATCAGTATAGCCTACTTTCGTGCGTTTTATATTTGGATATCATATATCGTTAGTATTCTGTGTAAAACACGCTTGGAGATTTTTAAGGGTATATTATTTTCATTCTTTATAATATACATATACTCTGTATAATATATATATATTATGGCTCGTATTTAGAATACGTTTTTATGATGTTAATGTGTGTTTAACGTATACCAAGTGAAAATGATCGTTAATTTGAACGATATTGATGTTAGACATAAAATCCTATTTATCGAGAAAATAAATATGAACTATTAATATTTGTAATGTATGAAATATTTATTATATATAATACATACACACACACGTATATACATGTTATGTGTGTATGTGTGTGCGCGCGCACGCGTGTGCACACTCACGTATATGTGTAAAATATATTTTCTAAATATTTTTTTATTAATTTTATCAAAACTCATATAAATATATAACTTGATCACTTTTCGTTGTTGCAGTGACCTGAATGGTGCAACAAGTGGAACATCTCAAGCCTAACTGCATAAAGTCTATGAAACTTTCTAAATAGAAACCGTAGAGATTCTCTTTCTAAGCACAGTTCGCGTAGATTCGTTAGACGTATAGGTGCCTGTAATCTTTTAACGTTGAAGCATAAACCAAGAAATGGATATAAATATAATTCGCAACTTTTTCATCTTTAGCGCAATGAATATAATACTAGCATCATTATTATTAAATCTTCTGGAATCTCAAGTACCTATATTGATAAAACGTGCTTTTTATTACGGTAAATTTGATACAACGACACCTAACTTAATAGCAGCAAAACTCGAAGTGCCCAAAAGGTAAACTAAAATTAATCATACTTTATCATAAAGATTCAATAACTACTGTAATAATAATTTATTAAAAATATATTAAATATATGTTATATATACATTATTTTAAAAATATCTTTTAAAAAATATATGTGTGTGTATAGAAAATACTTATTTGTCTAATACTCAAATTGTAATTATTAAAAAAATTGTTGTAGGTGGTTTAGACACTTTTACATATTTTGTGCACCACTGATGACTTTTACTATTTTCTTTCTTTGTCACATATATCTCAATAATATAGAAGTACCTGAAGTTATATTTACATTCTTAGATGCATTATTAGGAACATCCAGAAAACCACTAAGTATGTAAATATTAAAAATATTTTTTTAAATATATTTGCTATAAAAATGTTATCAATTCTATATTTACTTTGATATGTAAATAGATAATTATTTGTTTTAGTATCAGCAGAAGAAGCAATTCTGGTTTTTTTCTTATTTAATATACATTGTTGGAAGAGATTATATGAGACATGTTTCATTAATGTATTTAGTAATCAAAAAATTCATTTAGCCGTTTATTTCATCGGATTTGCACATTATGTTGGAGTAATTCTGAGTATATTGGGAGAAACTGAAGGGTTTGTTAGAGGTATATTTTCAAAAATTTATAAATTTACATTAATTTATTGTTTCTTGCGTAAGAAAGTGTATATGTACAATTATATATA